TTGATGTCTAAACTCAGGATCATGGTTTCTAAGAACCTGGCATGCAACTAACCCTGGAAATAGCGGCACTTCAGGAGTACCTTTGTGTAGACAAATGAAGAAGAGGCAGGTGACATAGGCATCTTGGGATTAAATTTCAGGTACAGTGGCCGATGGGATACATGGCAACAGTGAAAGGACTGAGTGCAGAAGGTGGAACCATGATAAAATAGAAACCACTTGATTCACTTGTGGTAGTTCACAGTGAGAAGACCATGAGCCATGGCAACCATGCAGGGTTGCTTATTATCTTTTGTGAACACAGCCAGTTAGTCATGCTTTAATGACACTGAACATAAGACAGCTGGAATCCAGTCATTGCTCCATCAGTGCCATTACTGTCAACATTGACTGGCAGCAGCTTTCCTTCAGGAAGGAGTTCTTCCCAGTCCTACCTGTAGATGCTCAGAACTGAAGCAGGGGGCCTTCTGCATGCAAAGCAGGTGCTCTACCCACTAAGCTAGAGGACTTTCCTTATGTTTCATTTAACTCAAGCTAGGTTAGTCATGCTGTAGCCCCTCTGAAATCAATGGGCCTTAACATGGTTAGGATGACCTTGCCATAATGGTTTCAATGGGACAAAGTGTGACCAACTTAGCCTGGAACCATCCCAGATAATAGAAATCCTTTATAAGAATTCCAAAAGAAAATATGGACATGTAGTAAAGGATGAATTAAGGTTGACATTTTACTAATGGGAATTGGGAGATTTGCTCTCCATATGCCCATAATAGGCTTCTGAATCATAAGTGACAGTGTAAGCACATCGCACATTTGGTGGGTGTATGGCATTGGCAGAACTTAATCTGAGTCATAGCCCACTGTGGCTAAGCTGAGAAATCTGTTTTCAGTGCCAGATTTGAGAACTGTTTGCATGTGTATCTTGATTACATACAATCACATGTATGCTTCATAGCCTACATTAGACACCTGTTGATTCTTTTGGCCTGCACCACATCAGACATGAACAGCTAGCTTCCTCATACACAAATTGGCCTGAATGCTAAGACTGACACCAGATACCCTGCTTCATGTTTCTCTCTCATTGGAGGTGTGTTAGGCAGTCATGAAGGGCAGGGCACTTTTTTGTCACAGTGCTGAGATGCTAGAATATTTTCCCAAGACATTCTGTTGAGCTCTCTCTTAGTTTGCCTTTAGGCCAGTTTTATTTGAGGCCTTTAGCTGCTTGGCTCCATTTTCTCATTTTATCAGCGATTCTGGTTTTGTTTTTTAATTAGAATGGATTGGATCCAGATTGAGGTCTGTGACTAGGCTGGGTACAGAGGCCTTTCTCACCATATCCTCCTCATGGCAGACTCTTCAATACCATGGCTGTATGCCTTACTTTACAAAGCACAGTCCTCTATTTGAAAGGCTCTCAGAGATAAGTCTTCTCTTTGAAGGTGTCCTCTATTTGGAAGACTGTCTGGTCAAAATCCATTTAAAGAAACTTGAGAAAACAGAGCAAGGGCTTTGAATTACTCCATGAACAGTTCATACCTGGGCAGTAGACTGATCTGTCCACAGGACAGAGGAGATCCATTAGTCATGGTCTTCTCCACTGATGACTCTACTTAATTTTGATTGAAATGACACAGTAACTATCTCTTTACTTTCATATCTATCCGTGAACGCACACAAATTATATTGACATTAATGTCCCCCTCCCCCCCCTTTTTTTCAGTGCTACATGTTCTCTTTTTTTATCAATGTAGAGGTGGCCACACTGTTCTCTAGCCCTTTGCCTACCCCCAGTGCTGCAGGGTTAGGGGGAACCTGCTAAATGGGTAGACATGTCTGTCAGCCCAGATTCACATGCCTAAATTTGTCCTTGCCTTTGGTCTTCAGGCAGAGGACACTGAGTGCTTCCTTTGCGCTGTATAGTCCAAGGGCAACCAGCAGTCAGAACCAGGGAGAGCAGAAGCAAGCTCCCTGAAGTTATTGCTTCTCTGGTCAAGACCAAAGACAAAATTAGGGACCAAATAGGGATCAAAGGAGGGCCTGGGTGAGCTCTTTCTCATCCCAGAGGCTAGAGAGGTAGTGGAGACAACTCGCCGCATTTTGAAGTGCCCTGAATTCTGGTGCTTGAGGTGGTCACTTCCGTTTGCTTCATGTCAAGCTTGTTCTGTATAAGGTCAGTCCTTGAAACATCTAGAACTGGTATTTGATGCCAGTTTGCTGACAGAGGCAATGTATAAACAAGTTCTCAATATTACCACAATCCCTTTGTAGGCATTGCCATCTTTCTGTTTTTGTTTTTGGGAATAAAGTACCACAAGTTTTGCTTCGGTGCTCTTCTAAATGTTAAATAAATACGCAGGCATCATTCATTTGTGACGAGACTAGTTAGTTACTCACTTGGCTCAAGGCACTGAGCCCCTTAGGTAGCAAGCTCTGAAGAAAAATAAAATCTGTGCTGAGTGTTAGGAAATGTCTGGCAACTAGGAATAAATGTCTGGATTGCAGGGTAAGAAATTGTAGAAGTTCCAGTTCAACATTATTCAGTATCTTTGCTGGAAGCTGGCAGGAAAACAAAAAGTCCAAACTGGTGTTTGCTTTAATAAAAGTCAAAGAATACCTTTTTCAAATAAATATCTTGAAAGTATTTTCATATTCTTTCTCACAAAAAAAAAAAAAAAGGAGTAGGTGGTCATTGAGAAGATAATAAAAAGGATACAGGTGAGGTGAAATGCTGAGAACTTACAGCAGGCATGAATCCAAAAACTTTCACTTTCTTTTTAATGTGGAGCACAAGCTTTACTGGAAAGATGGGATATAAATACATAAAATGAACACATTTCTGAATGACTCTCTCCCTCTCCCTCTCCCCTCTCAAGAATACCCTTCCTGCTCCTTTACTTCAGCAAAAATGAATCTGCTCAATGACCCTGGTGGATTTACAATTGAAGGTTTTTATAAACATCTTGAACAAGTGCAAATTAGTGTATATAGACTATTGCCTATAAAAGGAATGAATGTCACAGTTAAAAAACAGAGTACTAAACCATTCAGCACTACACTAAGTAAACATGCCCTCCAGCCTGTTGCACTTCCAATGTTTTGGATTAGAACCCCCCATCATCCCTGATCATTGGGAATTGTTCATCAAAATGTTGAGAGGTTGCCAAGTTTGGAACAGCTGAAGTAGACTTTTATAATTAGAAACAAACTTTGATAGAAAATACATTTAGAAATGTGTATTTTGATATAAAGTATGTCTCAAACATACGGATTTTCATACTTAAAAAAAGAAATGCAGATTAATGAAGAGACTCAACAGATGTGTGAACGAACATGAGCAAAGGTGAGGCAGACCAGAAAAAAAAACAGATTTGTCCTTTCCTGTACTGATCACTATCTCTAGCAGTGCTTCATCTGATTTAAACAAGCCAAAGTCCATTACTCTTTTAATAATAAACATTCCTGTCTTCTATCACAGTTTGAATGGAACAAAGATCTGCATACAGTGGACAGTCCATCAAGTAGAGAGATGTGTCCTCATCAGAACAAATTCTAAAAATGCAAAAGCAATGTCCTAGATTTAAATGCGGACTGTTGTGGGCCTTCATTATTTTAGTGCTATAAATGCCCAGGTTAGGGCACAAGCGATGCATGTAAGCCCCTGAATGTGGAGGCAAACACCCATCCAGTGCAGGGTGCACAGGTGATTTTTGCCTGGGCTGCTCCCTCCACTCTGCATTTGGAATAGAGTGTCCTTGTTGTCTCCCTCCAATCCTCAGCTGGAGGAAGCCTCATATGTAGATTATAGTGTCCAGGTCAATTTAGGTCAAAAGGGGTGTTCTAGCAATTTCAAGCTCTGCAGGAATTTATAGGCTAAAACTAGCATTTTGAACTAGGCTTGGAAATGTCCTGGCAGCCTGTACAAAATTGCCAGAATTTGGGCCCCCTTATTAATCTGGCTGCCACATTTGCACAAGCTGCAGCTTCTTACCAGTTTTCAAGGCAGTCCTATGTAGAGTGTACTGCAGTAGCCCAGCTAGAATAGTGCCAGAGCATAGATTATTGAAGCTGGGTTATTCCTGTTCTCCCAAATTATGAAGGTTTTTGATAAACTTATGTCAAACTTATGCCATCCTGAGACCCACTGGGTATTGGACGGGGTAAAAATTACCCAAATAAAAATAAAATAAAATAAAATAAAGACAGTACTATAAAATACTATGGAGGTAATCTAGCATACAGACTTCTGAGACTCACTATCACTAATATATTCTTCAGCTTTTAACATTAAGAAACACATCTTGGGGGTCATCCCACTGTACACCTATTTGGAGATCTATATTTAAATGAGCATGCATAGCACAGCTTTATGTTTCCATCAATTCAGACTACAGTTTATAAATTACTTAAAACGATACCCCATTAATCTCACAGGCTGATGGAATGGCTTCTATCAACAGTAAGTGGGGAGAGGAGCCGATGTCCACTAGCACAATATTGGACTTAGTTGTTTGGCATGATTTCTACTAATTTAATGCAAATAGGATTAAAGAGCAGTCTGTTAGCTTATGTTTACGGGCCCAGCTATCAATCACACTATCTAGAATTGTTCAGTTATTTTGAAAGGCTCATTCCAAAGATGTGCTCTTTGCCTATTGAAAAGAATAGTGCACTGCAGAAAAGCAGAGCAATTAAAGCATTTCAAATCACAATGGATGGTTGATTCACCTGCTGCCTGGGACATTGTGATGGCCAGTTTTAGCACATATGGAGACCCCCCTTGACCTCTGAAAGTTTCAGGTTTCAGATGAATATTTCACTTTTGAGGCCAAACTCCATTTTGATGAGTTTCATTCAGTTTAGCTTCTGACAAACAAACTTGCATAAGGAACACATTCTTCCAAGTCCCTTCCTGAAACTGCTAGAAGCTTAACACCTAAATTTAAAACACCCATGGCAAACTTTCACTGGTAGCAGAAAACATACACTGGCTGTATTGCCAATATGTCAGGTAAAGAAATACTGAGACAGAAGAATTGGCTCCAATTTCCAGGAGAAATGTTTGGATCTGGTACAGTTCCTAAATGCATAACAAAATGTTCTTCTCAAAATGCTTAAAACAAATGTTTCAACAAATTAGTATCAGCTATTGTGTCCTGGGGGATTTAAAACATTAGGTGCTGACAAATTAAAATATTTTACGTAGTTACTATGATGGTGGGAAATTATTTTCTTGGAATTGGTAATGTTTCATTAAGTCCATCAGAGAGAATGATTCTGTTTGTGATGGTATTTATATTGTGAAATAGTGCCTAAGTGTCTTTCCAGTCAGGATTAATGAAATAATTATATTTGGTTTTTCCCTGTTTCTCATTTCGTATTTATCAAAATGGTGAAAGTATTTATACAACAGTTTTAAATTTATGAAGCAGTTTACCACTTGCGGCTCTTCCAAGGGTATCTGGGGTGTGACAGCTTGGGGTGCTGGCAGAGAGAAAAAGGTTGGGGGAAGTAAATGTGCTGCTCATGCGAATGAACGGAGTTTCTTTAATTCTTGCATGTACTATTTCGCAAATCACATCAAGCTTTCCAGGCAAGGGGATTGCCATAGTTAGCTGATGCTTCTGGAGTTTGTAGCTCGGTGCTTATGTTTTTCAGACAACTCATAAAACTAAACAGCCATAGCCTAGATGTCATCATGTGCCTTTGATGTGCCTAATGCAATTAGACAAAATGTTAGCACATTTACGGTTAGAGATAAAATGTGGTGTCTTCCGTTCATGGCATTGCTTAAGGCTGTCTATGGAAAATATTAATGTACCACAAGGAAGCAAATGGGGGAAAATAGATTTATTGCTTAAAGATGTTCTCTTAGGGACTTTTGAGAAAAACTTGGAGCATAATGCTAACATCTTATACTTGAAGTGGATCTGTGGAAAACAGGAGCTTCCAAATCTTCCATGGAGAAATATTGTTTATTCTTTTTTGGTGGGGAGCAACCATAATTGCAGCAGGATAAATGGGAAATATCTTTATAGGGGAAAAATGGGAATTAATTCAAAATAAAGATGGTTCTCTTTCAAAATCTGTCTGGACTAATTGTACCCATTATGTTTAATTAGAAGAGTATTCATTTATTAACTTCAGCCCAAAGTTTTGTCATGATGTAATTATAGCATGATGATGTTTATGTAATTAAAAGTTTGATGAGGATGCTGTTTTATTTTATTTTCATTTTTGTCTTACTGTTAAACCATCCCGAGACTAGGGATAGTCTAAAATATTTTTAAATAAATAAAGTATCCCTAATAATATGCAATATGTGAATAGCACTTTTTTAAAGTGTGCAAGCTTCTCATGTGCATTAATTCTGTAATCTGTACAACAATCTTATAGAGCAAGGTAGTTTTAGTTACTTATTACAGATGGTGAGGAATTAATTTCTTACAGAGGATAAGTGGTTTACCACATTCTATGGACAGCAAAATTCCCAGCTCGGATTTGATATCTCCCTGTGCTCTGCAAACACTATTTTCAAATATTTTTAATGCATGAGATCAAAGTAGAGCCAAAATAAGCAACTGGCAGGTATGTTATATGTGGTAGGGTAAAATGTCTACAACATCATCTCATTTATTCTCTCTTGCAAATATTATATTCAGCGGAGTTTACTTCCTTGTATATTTAGAAGATTTAAATATTTGCTAAACATTCCATTGTTTTTTCATCTATCAGTTAGAACATTAGATGCTTCCAACAGGTTTACTATTATTGGGCAATTGGGTAGGATGATGATTCCCTCATAACTGTGCAAGTTAAACAGCAGGCAGTTTACAACAGAGTTTCAAAATATCTTAGAGATGGCTACAGAGATGGCTTGTACAACCCTCCAGAGACTAGCTACAGACCTGGCTAGCTGGCAAGTAGGCAAGCAAGCAAATGGTTCCTCAATAATGGGTCAGAAGAGCAATGTGGTTGCCACATCAGCACTGAGGACTACGAATCACCTCCTAGCAATATTGCGCATGACACTGCCACACATTGCAGGCATAGAACTCAGTGGGGGACAGCCTGCCATGAAGAAGCAACAGACGTCCATCCTTCACTGTGGCTTCCAGCCGAGGGCTTGTGGGAGAAGGACCAGGCTCTTACCATGGCTGGTCTGTGGAGGCATTCAAAGCGGGGAAAGAAGGGAAATGAGATGGTTGTTTTATTGTGTTTTGTTTTAATAATTGTAAGCCGTCCTGAGATGCCATGCATAAGGGATGGCATATAAAAGTTTTAAATAAATAATAAATACATCTTAATACTCCTCTGTGTTGGCAAAGTCCTAGTCCCTCCCCTTTGCCAGCTTCTCTGCAAATAATGGCTGGCTGGCGAAGGTTACCCAAATCTGTGGACCCTTGAGTATGCTGAGCCACAGCCAACCTGGAGAGAGCAAAGGTTTAATGAGAAACTTGAAGGGCTGAGCAGTCAAACTTCATTTTAAACACAGCTGAATTCTATTGTAATACTCTTGTATTACTATTGTAATACTATTGTAATACTCTTGGCTGCTTTAATGAGAGAAAAATTCCAAAAGAAGGAGCAGATCATTGGCAGCCTTGAGCAATGAGATTCTAGTTAAGTTTAACCCTGAAGGTAAATATCACAGCTTGCATCAGAATACTTCACCAACTGAGTTATTTACTTACGTAGATAATTTAACCCTGCTCTTCAGCTGGAAAGGCTCCCAGAGTGGCTTATATCTAAAAAGCAAGTCAGTCCCTGCCTTCAGGCATACAACTGAAAAAGACTAGAGAAGAGCAGAAACAAAGAGATAGAAAAGGAAAACATGAAAGTGTAGGCATCCACTCTCAGTGTTGTATGGAACTTACAATGACCTGCTGTGAAGGAAACAGGCTGCTCACTGTTCAAAAACAGGCCTCAGCATTAGCTTGGTAGTTGTTGGTCTTGTACAGAAGTAGTAGTTCCCCTATATTCCTTACTAGTCATTTGGAATACCGCGTCCAGTTCTAAGCACCAAGATTGAAGAAAGATGCAGAAAAATTAGAAAGGGTCCAGAGGAGGGCAGCAAAAATGATCCAGATTGGAAACACTGCCCTGTGAGGAAAGACTGAGAGAACTATGCATGTTTGGCCTTGAGAAGACTGAAGGGGGATGATATTTTATTTTATTTTTATTTATTAAAACATTTCTATGCCGCCCCTTGCCGAAGCTTGGGGCGGCTTACAACACAATAAAATACAATAAAATACAAAAATAACAATATAAAATTAACAATATAAAATAAATAACAATATAAAAGAAGTCGCCCTGGCCAGATAAATAAGCAAATATTGTTAACAATTAAAATGACGTTTAAATAAAAAGGTCTTCACCTGGCGCCAAAAAACAAATAACAATATCCCCCTATAAGTACCTCAAAAGCTGCTGCAAAAAGGAAGGTCAAGATCAAGATCTCTTATTGCTGATACCAGAGTGCAGGACATGGAATAATCAATTCAAGTTGTGACAGCCCAGATTCAGGCTAGATATCAGGAAAAGCTTCCTCACTGTCAGAGCAATACAACAGCAGAACCAGCTGCCTGGAGAGGTGATGGTGGCCTCTGGAGACATTCATGAGGCATCTGGACAGCCATCTGAGTGGGATGGTGTAACTTGGTATCCTGCAACAGCAGGGGCTGGACCCAATGGCCTTCATGGCCCTTCCAGCTCTACTATTCTATGATTCTAGGGGGCCTTGGCCTTCTGTGGCCTAGTTGAATCTGCTAGCTTCTTGTTGCTGCAGGGAATGGTAGTAAAAGCAGCAGGGAATGGAGAAGGCTGCTTCTCACTGTGTGTCTTCCCCTCCTTCTCACAGGGCGGTGGGATTAAGGTGTGAGTAACTCTGTTTATGTGTGCCAGAGCCTAGCAAAGATGTGTCTCCAGGACTATGCAAGTTAGCATTCCATCATACGCAGGCAATATAGCACAGTGCAGCCTTCCCCATTCTGATGTTCTGAACTTTAGCTCTCAGCATTCCTGGCCATTAGCCTCTTTGGCTGGGGCTGATGAGAACTGAAGTTAGAAATATTTGGAGGGAACCAGGTTGGGGAATACTTGCATAGTTAATAGTGTTGGATCCTCCTGCTCAGCAATGGTGCTCAGCTTTGGAAAGCCTCCTTCCATCCAAGAAGATAAACTCTGATAAGATAGTGCTAGGAATGCTGTTTGGCTGAAAGGTGATACATGAGCTCTATTCAGTTAATGTTCTTCAGCTGGAGATCTCCTGGCATCAAAGGAGAAGCAAATTGCTATTTACAAGTCTGGCAAATGAGGCCTGGGTGCATTGAGATTCTGCATGGCACCCTTCCTCAAGTGGGTGCCCTGCAGATTTTTGGATGCAATTACTGACATTCCTGACTATTGGCCAGTTGGCTAGAGTTGATGGGAGGTAAGGGCCAAAACATCTGGAAAACATCTGGATGGAGAAATGCATGGTGTAAATGGGTCCCTGCGGCTTCTTTTCATTCTCATCGTTGCTGTCATTTGCTTACTTGCCAGCCAGGGAGGCAATGAGCAAAGGTATGGTGGCATCTGAACTCCTCCTTCAGACTGCCACAGCTGGAGCCAGAGCAAGAGCTGAGTGAACAAGCAGGTCCAGGGGGCTTTTGTCAGCACTCCAGCTGCTGGGGCATCAGCCCTTAGCGGACAACTGATCACAGCAAACCTTGACACCAGCCTTTCTTTCAAGGTACAAACCAGGCACTGAATGTAGCACTAAAGCCCTAGTATGTGTTATGTAGAGGTTCCTAAGCCTTCTCTTTAACTGATTCTACCACTAGTGTGTGCTCAGTGTAAGAGAACACTTCGCTAAAGATTAATGCCTGATATGAGACCAGATGGACTTCAGTAAGTACCCTGTTTTCTCCACCATATTCCAGCTCTCCACATTCCATGGAATACAGCCTCCGTGGAATAGTCTGCAGGATTCTCTTGGAAAGGTTTGCCTCTCTCCAATTTCATTTCATCTTGACATCTTAACTTTTCCTGTGGGTTCTTTTCTTCCTAATTGTTCAAGCATATTGATAAAAAGCTAGAATGTTGCTTTTAACCTATATTGTTCCAAGAACGTTAAATTCCAGGAATCATCACATACACTGCCAAATTGTTTGTGCAGTGTGTTGAACTGAAAAACAACAACATGCTGCTAAGATAAAATTAAGCAGCTTCTGTTTGTAGTTGATCTTAAGAGATTCTTAAACTTCCAGGCTAATAGAACTACCACATGTCTTGGCCGGTAGGCATCTTGTTGCTTGTTGCTAAGCCCCTGCTTTTGGAAACTTACTTTTATGCCTAATGTTAAAACATGACGCACTGTGCTGTAAACAGGCAAAGAAAAACTGGAAACTCCTTTGCTCACAGTTGTTATTATAACATTAAGATATCTAATGAAATATGTTTCAGCTATTTATTTATTTAAAACATTTCTATGCCGCCCCCATCGCAACAAAGCCTCGGGGCGGCTCACAACAAAAACAAAAACAAACAAAATCATACAAAAATTTATACACTAAAAATATTAAAACCCGGTGCGTCTCGGCTTAATTTTTTAAAAAAATCCTACATAACAAATTAACACTTAAAATAAGTTTTAAATAAAAAGGTCTTAGCCTGGCGCCGAAAAACAATGACGGCGCCAGGCAGACCTTTCTGGGGAGCACATTCCATAGATGGGGCGCCACTGCAGAGAAAGCCCTCCTCCGGATACTCACCCTCCTAATATCATTCACAGAGGGTTCCCAGAGAAGGGCATCTGTTGCTGATCTCAAGGGACGGGAGGGCATATACCTCCAATTTGGATATATAGGGCACATTTTAAATTGAAAGCATCTTGCTATAATGATCAACCCCCACCAAAAGTTTAGTAGTTTAAAGATTTTAGTCTTTATTTTTTTGGTGAATACTGTTTGTCAATAAATCATTGTTTTCAATGATGTAATAGGTGTTGTTTTGGATACTGTGTCAAATTCTTCTTAGATGAGGAAAGGTAAAGTTGTGCTATTAGCATTATTGTATAGAGTTGTGTAGAAGGTGTAGTAATTGAACACAATGTCCTCATTCTTGAGGATCTTGTGGCTATGCAAGGAAAAACAGCCTTCTAAACACAAGACAGAGTTAAAAAACTTGAATACACCATTACCACTCAAGAATTATATAACTAGTAGTATACTGTGTGCAGAAATACATGTATGTTAATAAAATTCATAATTGCCTTGTCTCATTGAATCTGAACATATGTAGCTTGGACTGTAAAGCAACTTCAGATCCATAAAATGGAAAGGGTGCATAATTCATCAAAATATTCTGAATCGTCCATCCATGTAAACTTTCAAATTAATATACTGAAAGAGACATTGAGGAAGTCATGTACAAGTTTCCCTGGGGTTCACCTTAGGACAGGAATACAACTTGAGGGAAGTTTTAGCCAGGCCTGTTAAAAGGTGCTGCTTCACTTTCAGGGTTTGTTGTGTTTATGTGCACATCTTATTTGTTCTATTCAGTCGTTATAAATGTCATTGAATGGGCCTCCACCACACCACCTGTTTTGCTTATTACCAGCTTCCAAATGGAAAGCGCCAGGCCCAACTAAGCACCTTGTTCTACATGTTATTATGTAGAAGATTTACACGGGATATGTTTGCTCTTGCCATGGAAGATCATTCAGCAGAGGTGATGCTCACTGAGTTATGGCCCAGCTGGATCTCCAGGTTCTGATGAAGAGAAGACTGGTTCTGTACGGAGGGGAACAGACCTGAGCCCATCAGTTTCTGTTTCTAGGTCTGGCTTAGAAATAACATGTGAAAAAGCATGGCCTGGGGACATCCTGCACCTCACTAAACAACCTGCAATCCAAGACCTCCAGGATATTTAGGGGACAATGCAGCCATTGTTGGACTGTTCACCAGTATTATAGCTGAGTGACCATTAGATTCTGGAGCAGTTCAGAAAAGCTTAAGAATCTAGGATGGACAAGAGACAGCAGAAACATTCAACAGCTGTGTCTGTTTGTAGTACCCAACCCTTCTTCCAATAGGTATATTTCTTGATGTCCCTGTTTTGATAGGAAACCATTGTGTAAGCTATATGTGCCTACCTTTAAGAAGTCCACTTACTGTCACTATGACTTTAAGGCAATCTCTCTTATGCCTTCTGTGCCAGCACTTGAATATGTAGCTTCCCATGCTGACATGTTACAGTCCTAATGGAGCCTTGAGAGAAAGACTAAAGACACACTCAAAATCTGCATTCTAAGTTTTATAACCCACATGTTTTCTTTTCAAATGTACACCTTTGGAAAACAATTTGATTTCACAATTAATGCTGAAATCTCACATACTAAAAATGTTCTGCTAGACTTTAGTATTTATTCCAAAAGACAGTGATGAACTCAATATGAAAGAAACTTTCTCATATTGCAGCAAAGCAATGGGGTAGTAGTGCTACATTGCAGAGTAAACACTGCAGTAGACTCATTGTAGTGACTGAGAAATGTAATTTTAGATCCTTTATATAAAATATATTTGATCCTAATGAACCATGGCATTCTAATGATGGAAATAGGAATTTTATGTTGAAATTGGTATTTTGCATTCTTTAGATGTCAGTGTGTGAAGTCCTTCATTTATGTGTGAGTTACAATTAAACAGCCCAGGAAGACTATACAGTTTCTAATATCTATTTTCAGATAAAATTCATAATCAGAACATCAAAGTGCATTTAGATTTATCAGCAAAAAGATCTTAATCTGACAGAGTCATACATGCAAACCATAGTAAATTTAAACTTGATACTCTGATTTTTCACATGTTTAAAAGGACCTCATTTTTCAGAAAACAAGAACAAATTAGCTTTTTTTTAAAGGTGAGTTCTTCTGAACTCTGAAGAAAGGCTTACAGATTTGGAGGAACTCAAGTCAGTTTATGGCAATGTTTTAGGAAGACATTTCTTTGAGGTTCATGCTAGCATGATTTGTTTGCAGAACTATAACCAGAAGAGACACCACACAATACAGCAGAAAATCTTCAGGGCAAAATTGGCTGGGTACAATTGAGGTTTATTAGCAGGGTCGCTTTGCAATATATCTTAAGCATAAGTTTCCATTTTCAGGGAAAACTACTCATACAATTGGAACACATGTGTTAACCTCATGCAGGTTAAATTCAGTCTCCTCTTTTAAAAGAAAACCATGGCTGGGGAAGAATGAAAGGAAACACAACTGAATAAACACAACAATAAATCCCTTTATTGTAGGATTATGAAGTGGCATGGATTACAGGGAATGTTTACACATTTTTAATAATGTTATAACCTTTGAGATAGGTGATGACTCTAAAGGGCTTCTAGGATTAGGAAATAACTTGAAAATGTTATTTATAACTGGGGGGGTAGAGTAAATCTGTTGGAAAGGCAAATAAGTCTACCATCAATGCTTACCTTGGAGTAAGTCCTGTTGAACTCAATGTACTACTTCTCAGTAGACATATGAAATCAAATGTTAAGAGTTCAGAGTGATTTGGGCCTTCAAAGCATACACAGAATATGCATTACCTTAACTTGATTTCTATGCACATCCCACATGATAGACTTTTAAAGGGATTTTCCCCCCTAATGATGTTTGTAAACCCTTTTCACTAAGAATCCTATAGTTTACAGGATTAGCTAAAGAACTGTTATCTACTCATTTGCAGCAAAAGAACAATATGTACCAAGTGTGCTACTTTACATGTTTCATGCGCAGATTTTTAAGTACTTTGTGTTAAGGCAGAGTCAGCTGGTTTCTTATGAAGGGGAATGGGGAGCTGAGGGCAAATTTATTAAGAGCCAGAAACTCCTTGGCCATGATTTCCCATGTCATGGGGAAGACACTACACTTTTGAGGCTAGGGCTTCATCTAAATCACATGCACATGGTGGGCATGTCATGAGCGGAACCAGCTGGTGCCGGAGGTCAGACTAGATGGCCCGGGAGGCCCCTTCTGGCTCGCTCTGTTTCTATGTTAAATCATGAGTAATGGGGCACAGTGTCTCAGCGGCTGCATTTGCTCCCTCATTTGCAACCCCACTAACTTGCGGGGTTGGTTGCCAGTGCCAGTTTACTTTCACAGAGGAGATGGACACAACGGCAGAGGTGGCTTGATGACTTCTTCCTCTTATTCTCCCTCCTTCTTCAAGGGTAGAAGATGCAGACTGGGAAGAGAATACTAACATACGTGTTCTATGACCTGAGAGAGACCCTGCCTGTGATATTTGCTGGTCCAGCTTCACCACTCTCAACCATCTAAAGAGTTCTTGCTCCCTCAAAAGATGCCAATGTTTCTCCCCATAGCCTTGGAACTGGCTCCTAGAATACCTGTTTGATGCTGCCTTTTTTACTTTCTTCCAATCCCTCTTCAAAACATGCAATTCCTGTGGACCCTTTGACAAAACCTCCTTGTTCTCATGTTTTTCTGGAATTCAGCAGCATGAAACAACCTGTATATTGCTTCCCTGTTTTTCTTTGCTTCCATCTTCTCTTTTCTCTTTCATTTCTTTTGTGCCAAAGTAATTGTAAACATCCCAGCTTTACTATGTAAATCTCCATCTACACAGATTTTGATGATGTCCTAGATCTGATGAAGCTCATTAGAGGAACTTCATCTTTCATTATGTATTTACCTGTACATAGAACCTAGAGGGACAAGCAAAAGAAATGGTGTGTGTGTGTGTGTGTGTTTGCGAGAGAGAGAGAGAGAGAGAGAGAGAGAGAGAGAGAGAGAGAGAGAGAGGTCATATTTTGATCCAATAACACAGAATGTGTGTAAATTCAGACTTTAAATAAATGAGAAAATTTTAATTTCAACTTGTCCTGCGGTTGATTAAATGTTCACTGAAACCCTAAACTGAAACAAATTAATGTTTCAGATAATCCTGACATTTGGAATAATAAGCAGTGTTGTTGTACCTCATAGACTAACACATTTGTTACTGCATAACCTTTGTGGACCCAGGACATTTGCTCAGATGCTGAAGCTAAGATATATCAAATTTGAAATACTGATGAGTGAATTCTGTATAATTTTATAGGCCAGTATTCATTTTTAAGAGTTTATTTTGTCATGCTAATGTCAAACAGCAGTGGTGCACCGTCTCTTGCCCATAGAATTAGTAATGCTTCATATTTCCTGAGCTCTTTGTTTCATTAATGAGAAAGAACATTTTACAGTAAATAGTTATTAACAAAGGTTCATGTAATTGAACATTTGTCTTAAAAATTACTAACATCTCGATAAATGTGCATGCATGCAGGTGCACACACACACACACACTTCCTGAATGATGTCCCTGAATGTAAAAATGAGGACTACTAAAAATGCAAATTTAATCTTAAAAGTCAGGAAACATGTTACAAGATTTCCTTTGCATCAACAGTCCCATGCGAACTTAGCATATGTCTACCATTTAGCAATGGGTAAGAAAGGTTTGCTCAATTTCCCAAAGAAGGACATGCCTCTAAATGACAAACTATTCCTATAAATAAGCACTTTCACAACTAATAACTTCATCCCATGTTCTTTTCAGCACAACAGGGAGCTGATTTATTATATTGGGAGTCAGCAAAAGTTTGATGATGAGAAGAAGTTTAGTATGGCAAACTGATCTGCTTTAAAAGCCTGAAAAGCACACAGTGTTGAATCCAGGATCTGCTTTCTGCAAGAAGGGATATTTGACGAGAGGAAGGGCTTTGCTCATTGAAGGCCTCTCCACTTGGGTTTTTTCAGTATCTGCTCATGCACAATCTGTAGTTCTGGTGCTGTGGGAAGGATGGAATGGGGAAGCCCACTCCTACTAATGCAATTCATCCAGTGTCAATCTGTAACCAAAGCACGGCTACCAGGCAGTGGGTTCTGCCCACTGATTCCATCCTGCCACGGCATCTCTGCTGGCTTCACCCCTCTCTGGCCAAGTGTTGGTGAGGGAATGTTCCTAGAAAGCAGCCAGCTGGGTACATAAAGTCACCTCCTCACTATCTGAAACCCCGCATGGCCACAGTCCCAGCTCACAGGGGAAGTCTATACGGGCACAGAAGCATGGAAGCTCCTTTCAACAGACATTCCTTGAGGGGCTCCCAGGAGGCAGGACCAATGAGGGATTTTGCTCTAGCCCTCCACTGGATGGTTCATTGTGGATGAGCAAATGCCCAGAGTAGACTATTATATGTCCTTGTTCTGAACAACATTTCCTATTTTTTTCTTTTGCTTCATTACTTTTAGCATGTATTTTAATTTATAATAAAATACATAATAAAATGAAGACAACAGAATGAAGAATATTTGTTTTTGGCAACTTAGATCATCCAATATTTGAATTCCGATGTCAAAGTAAAAGTTTTGTAAGACAACCCCATAATTAGAAGCAGCACTGCTAAAGTGATATTGTTCCTGTGAATAGCTAATTTCAGAATTTTAAAGAGCTTAAAAAAAGGAAAATGATATATTTAAGATAGGCTTTTGTGAGACCTGAACTCCGTGTTCATCATCTGAGCAGGAACTACTTATAGTAGAAATCACTGAGTAGAACAAATGTACCATTCATTTTTATGCCTGACTGTTTTTTGTTTGGAAATGTTTATGCATCTGAATAAAGGGAGATATATTTCAGTATGTGCACCCTTCTTTATGGCTTCTCATAAATCATGGGCAAAGTAATAATGAACAGAGTTGTTACAGAAGCATGCTCCCTCTTGTGGGTTTTCTGGAGTTGGCCAGTGTGTTCTCAGACAACTATCTCAGACACTAGAGCAGACAGGCAAATGGATTGATGATAAAACCTGGTATCATATTAATTTAATTTGTAGGGAAAGGGAGGAGCAAGCACAGGAGGTGTTCATGGGAACCGGCTAGAAATATAGCTGCAGGCCAGAAAACTCTGGAAGGGCTGAGTGAGGCTGTGTGGGAACTTTCTTACTTGTTACTCCTGATCTGGTGGGCTGGGAGAGCTGCAGATAAGTAGAGATGTGACAAGGGTGATGGGAACAGCCTTGAGGCAGATGGGAAAATGGGAACTGTAAGGCTGGCTGAGGTGGCCCAGGACATTGCCTGAAAATCAAATGTGCATTAAGTAATCTGACTTCCGGACCATTTCTCAACAAATACGCAGTGCACGCATGGAAAACAGCCAAATGAGTTTCACAAGTTTCATTCATTCGTTTGTTCGTTCGTTTTATAATCTGCCTTTTTCTTTTTTAAAGCACTCAGATTGGCTGACATCATTCTCCCCTTCCTGCTCTCAGTCTTATCGCCACATCCACAACCCTGTGAGGTACGTTGGGCTGAGAGAGAGCCTTTGGTTGGGCATGTCACCCAGTGGGCACCATGGTTGAGTGGGGACTAGATCTCAGACTGCCTGAGTCCCAGTTCTGCACTCTTTGCCACTACACTCACTAGCACAGATTTTCTTTCATCCCGAAAATGCACTCTGACAAGAATTCTAAAGAATGCATTGCCATCTAGTGTACAAAATACTGAATGTCCCCACCTTTTTTTTATCCCTGCAAGCAAAGAAGGAATGATGTAAGGAATTTCCTATCCTTCTTTGTGGCAGATAGGGTGGCGCATGGGACCAGAGACTAGAGCACAGCAAGCAGCTCTCTGCAGACCAGGAAAGGCTTCAGGAAGCTGTCGGTCATGGCCAGAATTGATGAGCTCCATAAGTTCTGGAGGTCTTGTCTGACACACTGGATGTTCTCAACCTCAGTCCATGGAGCTAAATGTTTTGCAACAGGATCCAAGCCTCGGTTTAAATCTAGGTGACTTTGAAGGACTGGGGTGCATGGAAGGGTGCCTTAAATTTGAGCATTTTTAGCCACTCCCAGTTAAAATTATTACTCCTTCACCAAAAGGGATTGATAAGATACATTGAATTTCTAGTTTTGAGACTTAAGTTTGCAATTTTTTTTTCATACAAAAGCCTTTGCAGCTCGGTGTATATGGATTAGTTTTACAGGATGGCAAATGCTGAGACTATAGCACCTGGATCAAGGCCTAGGCTAAGTATTACATCACATAATAGTGATCTCAGAAAAGTCCAAAATCATGTGGCTCATACATTGAACCCACATTCATAAGGGCCGTACGTGTACCAAGCTATCCAACAATCTTTGTTCTCCAAACTGAGGTTGACTGTGAGCACCTGTGTAGCTTTCATGACTTTTTCTTAGTCCTTTTAACTAAAGAGGAATGTTTCTGAAGTCCTTTAGAACTACTTTAGAAAACCACATTCAATGCTTGTAACAAACGTGCCTGTCTTCAGATGGACAGGCCGTTCTTGGAATGCTTGTGCAACCACACCAGGTTGTGTCATGGGAAGTGCACCTGCACCACACCACTCCCTGCAGACAGCTGTGCAAACTACAAATGTGTGTCGACGGGGGGTCAAGAAAGAAGCGGTCAGCAGTGTGGCTGCCGGATGGGCAAGGAAGAGATCCCTGTTTGTGGAACAGTCTGTACATGCAAACTGAGAACTCGGAACAATGAGGAACTTTCATTTGAGACTGAACTGAAAAGTTTGGAACCTGGTGAACAAATTGGGATTTCGGTTGGGCTAAGCTCATCCATCACTACTTAAGCATGTGAACTTTTCGCAGGAAGCCTTTGCTCATGTGCAATCTGTATCAAACACAGGTAGCCTGCTGATTGCCATCTCCTGTTTCCCACCTCAGGAATCTGCCTCAGGGAGCTCATGATAGCTTGCTGTGCTTTCCTGCTGTTGTGGTAAGTGTTCATTCTCTATGTTCACACAGGGATGGTTCAGAGGAAAGTTATCTGTTTGCTGGAGCGGTTTGTGTGGCAGACAGTGTGGCCGATCCAGCTCTCTCTCTACGGTTTCACTCCAAGTACTGGAATGGAGGGAGGAGTCAGGAGTGTTTCTGGAGGACGGGCTGTATTTGTAAAGGGCAGACACAGTAGAAACAAAAGAGATGACTTCCTTTTCATTGCTAGCTGTGGTTGATAGGATCTGTTCCTCCATTACTCCCACCACTGCCTTTTAAAATCAAGAATAAAAATGACCATGCATCACACACATCTCATCTAGAGCAACAACACACAGAGGCCACATTTCCATCACTTCCCATGCCAGTACTTACAGTGTAATAAGCATCATCCACAGATTCCTGAGTATACTTGGGAGCCATGCATATTATTAGAACTGGGGCCATCCAGTGAAGCAGAATAGTGCAAGATACAAGACAAATAAAAGTGTTTTCACTGCAGGCAGTTGAATGGTAGAACTTACTACTGAAAGGTGTAGTCAGGACCACCAACCTGGATGGCTTTAAAAAGGGAACTTCAGGAAGGTTGAGGCGATTGGTTGCTATTAGTCACAATGGCTATAGATAACCTTCAGCATCAGAGGCAATATGACTCTGAATAACTGTTGCTGGTGAACATGAATGGGAGGTGGCTAAATTGTGCTCATAGGCTTGCAACCTTCCTATAGCCAGGCCCTGTTATTATTACATTTATATCCTGGCTGTTTTACTCTTCTAAGGAACCCAAGAAGGCGTTCAGAGCTCCATATTATCCTCAGAACAACAGTCCTGTGAAGTAGGTTGGGCTGAATGAGTGACTGGCCCAAAGTCACCCAGGGAGCTCCATGGCTGAGTGAGGATTAGAACCCAGATCTCCTAGGCCACAAATCCAACACTCTAACTGTATCACACTACATTGGCTCTCAGGGTTATGTTGGAAACATAATGCTGGATGCAATTTGGTCTGATCCAGCTTGATCTATATAATATTGTCAGAATTTAATTTCAGTGATGCCTGGTTTCCTATAGGGCCTCTCTTTCTGGCAACTGAGGACAGGCGGCAGTTCCAAGTGTGCAACAGGAAACCCACTCATTGTGGCGTTCTGTTGATATGTTGAAATGGACATGATCATCTCTGTTTGGGGCTAAGTGTTCAATCATGCCTTTCACTCTGCTATAGATTTCACAGATCAGGGCCATTCCTTTATACCTAGGGCATTCTAAGTCATGGAAATTAATGCTACTGAAGTGCCCTCTTGAGAATAAAATAAACAGCCCTGATAATAGTTCATGAATGATTTCTGTTTTTCCTTTAAATACATCCAGCCCCAGTCTCTTTACAAATTAAGTAAGAGGCTGATTAGATCCGATTTGGCAGGAAATTCCTCTTCTCTTGGGAGTTCTTTCTTCTTCTTCACAGTCTTCCTTGATGACGCAACATTCAAGGTTACTGGGTCAGGCTATAGTTCTAATGATTGATAGTGATTTGTTTAATTGTGTGACTAACCATAATTACTTCTTCCGTTGTCTCTGGTCATGGCTCACATTAGACCCAAGTTGCAACCTCTTTCAGAAATGCTTGGTGGAAATTCCTTGGCAACTGTAGTTTACTCTGCTGCAGATTATACACCTGATTATGAATTAAATGCATAGCACTAAAGCTGATTTGAAAGCAAACTGCACATAGCTTTCTGAAGTGGCTGTGTGTCCTGCTGGCTGCTGGCTCTCTATATTGCTCCTCATGGTGTTCCTTACTGGGATGCTAGGACTGCTATTCTGTGGCACTGGCATCCTCTTCATCACTGCTGCTAGGATGGTGCCGAACTTCCCACATACTACATGGGAATCAGTTTCATTGAATTCTGTGAGGCTTTCTTCTGACTGTGGAGATTTAGTTTGTAAAATACCTGGAGCTTTAACAAAATCTTGTTAGTCAGCTGAGAGTCAACTTTTAGCTTTTAATTAGAAGTGTAAAGACTGTTGCACAGCAGTGTTACCATTTAAGCTGCTGGCCCTAACTCGAACCCCAACCCCGCCAGAGAAAAGGAAAGGAAAATCCAGCGTTTGCTTAACCATTTCCCTTGTTCTCTGACTTCCTTTGTGCCAAACAACAACATTTGAAAGTCTCATCACCTCATTCCCTTGGAAGAGTTTGGACGGTTTGTCTTGTTTTGTCTTGTGCCTTGACTAATGGGCGGTATAGCAATTAAATAAATAAATGTGAGTCATTTAGCACTCAGCAAATGTTCTCACCCCTCTTCCATTGAAAAAAGTCCTGGGTGCAAATGTCATAATTGAAATAGGTAACACGACCTCAAATGGAAACAGAATCAGAATGACCTTTCTGTACTACTTTGTGGATCTCCTGCATTTGATAAATGAAGTACCAACACCTTTGTTATGCCAAGTCCCCCCTCTCCCAAACTACCACCTGCGTGGCCATTGCCATTTCAGCTGTCTGTTTTCAAAGGGAGATAGTAACCAGATCTCTCCCGGGATAGCTATGCAGAGTGCTCACCTGACAATAACCTCAAGTGGTTGTTTGAAACCTGACTGCTCCCAGGAAACAAGAGCTGTGACTGTGACGTGTACAGCCGCAGCAAGACAAACGCTCAGCAATGTTCGTTTCAAGCGCTTCCCTGGTCTTTGTCTGTTTCATGATTAGAGAGTTCAGCAGATGGTCACTAGATCCGCAGGGCTTAAGTAAGTGAGAAAATGCCAATAGGGG